ATCCTCAGCAGTGTTGTCAGCTGCGGGAGTGCGCTCTGCGGGAGGCAAAGGGTCAGAACTCAGTTCCTCTCTGTTGGTACTTGTTGAGTCACCATTGATTTCACTACCCGGAGTGGCTGGGCCGCTTTTGTCGTCTGTCTTACCGTTGGCCTCTTTCGTCTTTCCATTTTGTACTTGACTCTGTGGGTTGTGATTGACACCACCAGTAACATCACCTGTGTTCTCAAGTTGGGTCTCTTCACCACTCTCATCTTTATTTGTTCCACCTTTAATGATGTTTTCTTGGTTTCTCTCCACGTTCGGACGGTGGGGTTGCGGTTGCGGTTGAGGGCGGGGGACAGGAATCTTACCGGGAGGCTTACCCGGCTGGCTGGGGCAAGGCCCAGTTTTACTGGAATCGCATTGCTCAGCAACGCGGTTGCCCTCACCGTCAACATTCTCACTCCTGGAAAGATGTTGCTCAGCATGTTCAGCAGTATCAGTATGGCCATCTTTTTCCCCGTTGGCCTTCCCCCGATCCTCCTTCAATTGAGTACCCGAAGACACACACGATCCGTCCACTTCAGCCTGACCAGACGGGCAAGGAGGTGGCTTAGTGATAAGATGATAAGTGGGAGAAGTGTTAACATCATGGGACTCACTTTCATTGTTAGCCTTAACTTCCTTGACAGTCGGGCAAAGCTTTTTTTTGCCACCTGCGCAAGAAGACCCTGTACCACTACCAGCGGCGTCATTGCAATCCGGAGTCGGTCTTTCCTTGCAATCCTCAGGATCGCTGAGAGTCGTGCAGCTTTCCGGCGGATTCTCTCCAGTGCAAGTAACACTGACACCCAACGGACCATTTTTATTGGCATCCTTGCAGTCTTCCTCGGAAGCAGCAGCATCAGAAGCACACGATTTCTTCCCTTGCTCAAGAGCACCGCCAACGTCAGCCACTAGCGCGTAGCCGCCAAATTTAGACTCCTCTCCACGACTCTTCAATTCCACCGCCGCACACCCGCAGGCGCACCACGCACACAGCGCACACACCAGCAGCACGCAGCGCATCGTCATCATCGTATTCTTGATCTGCGCAATGAGTGGGGGCAGGCAGAAGAAGTCAGTGCGCTGTGCACAGCAGAGGCTCCAGTCCGCCACTCAGGCACCATCACCACCCGCAAACGGACACCCACACAAAACAAACACAACAATACGCGAAGCCGAAGCGTGGCAGGGCTGTGGTGTGCTGTGCCCACAGGAGCACTCCCCAACAGCAAAGCAACAAGAAGAAAACCAGATGTATCAACCCCCCGAATGTGTGTCCCTGCCCCACACCCAACACACAGCTGCAGGCATCACACAACAAGCCCATCAAGCACCGCAGAACCATTCACACACACACACACAAGTGAGTGGGCGGCAAGGGAAACACACCGAAGGGAATTAAAGAGCCGCAGCACACATGCGCTCAACACAAATCTTCTGCACAAAGCAAGTCTCTTAATAAAGAATCGGCACCCAATCAAATTGCATGCAGACATCCTGCTACTGCAGTGTGTATATACTCGCACACATACACACACAGAATAAAAGGGTTATCGTACTCCACGAGCACATGCAGGCAGAAATGAAAAGCAATTAGGATTAACGCACCCTTCACAACACAAGGATGCCACACACACACACACAGAGAGAGAGAAGCAAAAGAAACAACCACACAAAGGGGCAGCGGTTGAGCCCCAAGCAATCATTAGGAAGAGAAGGGGGATAAATACACCCACCATGAGCTCGCAGCACACACACAGAGAGATTGCGAGGAGGCATGTTACTTCTCCACGATGCTCATCACACAGCCGTTACTGCAAACAACGCCAGCAGAAGCAGCGGTGCATGCACCCACACAGGACTGACGCTGCTGTCCGCATTATTTGTAGTTTTTATATTTTCAGCCACAGGGTTGCTGCTTGTTTTGTCGTTTGTGGCCTCTGGTGTACTTGATGAGGCAGTGGGGGAAGGCGTCCGCGATTGTTTGGAGTGATCTTGCTCACCGGCATCTTGGGAAGGACGTTTAAAAGACCCGCCGCTGGAAATATCCTCTGCAGAACTGATAGCTTCGGGATTATGCTCTTCGGATGATGGAGCATCAGAGTTCAGTTCACTCCTGTTGGTATCTGTGGGGCAACCAGTGATTTCTCTCCCAGAAGTTTCTCTGTCACTGTTGGTGCCCACCTTAGCTTTGTTATCGTTTTTCTTTTTATCCTGCAATTTGTCATTCAAGTCGGCCACACCATCACTAGTAGCATCAGCAGTAACCTGCCGCTCAGCTTGTTCAGTCTTGTGCCCATCTGGGTTTCCATCACTCTTCATACTTCCTTTAACCGTCTCCACTTGACCGAGCTTCTGCTGCGGAAGGGATAAAGAGTGGGGCGCAGGACCGTCAGGCGTGGGCTTAAGTGGCGGCGTCGTACACGGCGTGCCCTTAGTGGGAACACAGGACCCATCGCCGCCGCCGCCGCCCTCACTCCTATCTCTTTCGGTCACGTTTGAAAGTAGGGGTGCAGCTGGACTTAGACCAGTTCGTTCAGCTGATGTGCCGTGCTCCAAATTCTCTTCGGTAAGAGATTTAGTACCCAAGGACTTACACGACTCATCTGTGTTAGGTTGACCTTTCTTGCAACGAGAATTGTCGCCACCGGTACGCTCAGAGTCATCCCCGGCACCAACTCTTGGACCACCCGTACCGTCGGGCACCACCTCCTCCTGACCCTTGCAGTTATCCTTCTTTTCACCTTCGCAAGGCTTAATCAGGGCAGCACCCACGGACATTTCGCAATTCGGAGGCACTTCTTTACTGCAATCCTTAAGAGGCTTTGGTACTTTGCATATTTCAGACGTAGACTGTTCATTACACTCTCCAGTGTCCACATTTCCATCGCTTGCCCTCTCATCCTTGCACGTTCCATCAGATGAAGGAGTGCCAGTGGCACAAGGAACAGCAGCTGGCAATTGTGCTGCTTGCGCTGTAGCCTCTACCGCGTAGCCACCTACATCCGGCACCACTACACGCCTCTCCTCACCTACCGCCGCAACCCCGCCGGCACACCACACGCAGAGGAGGAACGCAGAGATCACACAGAATATCTTCTTCATCGTAGTCTTAATCTGCACAATTAAAACAAAAGCAACAGACTGAAACAAAACAGAAGAACCACACCATATACAACAACACCTTAACACACAATGACACAACCAACACACACATTCTAAACAAACTCCTTTAACAGGAGAGACAGAAGTATTTCCGCTGTGGTGTGTTGTGCCCACAGGAGCACTCCCCAGCAGCAAAGCAGCAAGAAGAAAACCAGATGTATCAACCCCCCGAATGTGTGTCCCTGCCCCACACCCAACACACAGC